CAAAGTATATCACATGAAAACATGCAGTAGCCAAAATAAACAAATACATCATTTCTACTTTCTACTGGCATAACTGGTTATACCAGAAGGCTTTTTCCAGGTGGAGAAGCTGTTCTATATTCAATTAATTTCTTCTATATGTAATCAGAAATGTGGAAGATTCATGTGAAGTAATAATTAAATTGTATCCTTTTTTTCATTTTGGAAAAATGCTTTGAAGCTGAATTCTAACCATATTTGGTCAGAAATTATATCATAGTAAATGCAGCAAGTATATTATTACCAAAATGAGATAGCTCATAAATAAAACAGCACAAAATGACATCACACTGCATGGAAAATAAATAAAGATTAGATGCAAAGAAGATAACTTCCACAGATACCGCATTCAAGTTTCTTACTCTTAAGGCTCATTTCAGTTTCTTTACTTTGAAAAGTAGAGTGAAAATGATGCATATAAAGACACTAAAAAAGAACATGTTGTCCTCCAGATTTCACAAGTCAAATTGTACATTTTATGTTACTGCAACTAGTATTTAGCAGATAATTTGTAAAAACATACACTACTACTTATTTGGATGTAAAATAGATACTACCAGAAAAATGAATATAATGGCAATGATATAATGTGGACATGAAACTCATAAATTCCCCCTTATAATGACTAGACTAGCAAAGAAAATATAATAGTTTTAAAATATGGTTTGGCATTTGTTGAAAAATATGTAACACCATTTCTTAGCATCATGGAAAATTCCCAGGAGAACTGAGATGGAGAAAATCTCATTTATATATGAGTTTTATATTCTGTCTGTCATTGGATTAATAATTTGAATACTATTTCACATTTAATTGATGTAGTATATTTTACAGAAGGGAAAACACCTGACATTTAATTCAGTTGATCATGTAGTTCAAAGGGCAAAAATTGCTTATTTCTATGGTATATTTCCATAAAATTAATTAGAATCATAATGATACAGTTAAAATAACTAGAGGAAGTAGGATTCAATTAATTAAACATTCAAAAGACACATATACTGCGATTTCTGCAAAGCTAGTGAAGGATGAATGGATGGATGAGCTTTATAGTGAGATGTCACCATGATTCTGCTTCCTCTCATCTGGTGCTTTTCACTTATCTTGGATCACAATTTCCCATCAGTGGAAATGTTTTATCTTTGGCAAGCAACTAATGGTAAAGTATACATTGGCTTGTCACATAATATCACTATGCATAAGTTAAAACAGCACACTTAAACTAGACTCAAATTAAATATTCGAAGCAGAGAAAATACAGCATATAATAGTGAATTGCACCCATTGTATAATGGTAAAGGTACAAGGTAAATGGTACAAGGTTTATCTCTGGGTAAACCCAGAGGATTATTTCATACAAGGAGAGAATATGAATCTTTTAAGTAATAAATAAAATCATTATCAAGGCTTTAAACTAAATGCCAAATGACTGCCAGGGCCTTATTATAAATATACAAAATAAATCTGGAAGGACTTATTAGCTGTCTTTACACAACATGCTAAATCCAGATTAAGAAGATGCAATGCTTGTTTTGACGAAACATGTTATACCCAACAAATAAACCATATTATGCATTAGTATATACACCTTGTTTTCCAAAACAATGGCTCGGTTCCAAAACACAATGAAGCAAAAATTATTCAATCTTATTTTAATTTGGTATGAGCATGAATTTAGCTCTATTTTGTTTGAAAAAGGATGAGATAATTAAAGCCTTTAAGCTCCAAAAGACATGCTTCAAATAAAGAAAAACAAGATAGAATTGGTAATATGGAAACAGTAGGATATAACAAATAAATGTTAAATTTGGACTAGGGAAATTAAACTTATGTGCTATTATTAACATGATTTTGGTGGGTGAAGACTATCCCATGCTTTCTCTTTCATCTTAGAGGGGTTTTGTTGTAAATGCTATATTCTTGAAAGAAAGATGAAAATTATTGTGATAACAATTATTTCACATTAACCAATACATTTATTAAACTTTTTTCATGCTGTGCAGCCCATAGCCTACCACTCATATATTATAATAACTGCCTTGCCCCTAGAATCTGGTCACAACCGTGAAAGTTTGGGGCAATAATGTCTAATCCTGTTTTTTAAACCCATGTTTTTCCTTTAGAAGTAGTATTATTTACATGGATATATTTTCCCATCAATAAATTATGTTTTTCCATGGGAGAAAGAGTCAGTTTGGTGTAGTGGCAAGGGAATAGTAGCAATGGCAAACCAATTCCTAAAAACGTTGCCAAGAAAATTGCAGTTACTTGTCTGGGCAGCCATCAGAAGTTAACACTGGCAAACAGGGACGGAAAAAAGGAGAGAAACCTAATATAAATGTATAAATTCTTATCCAAGCAATCACACATTGTAGCAAATAAATACACATTTACCTTTATAAACATATATCTTGATTCTGTCATGCACTCTTTTTATCCTAAGCAGATCAACAAGACTACTTAATATCCTGGGGCAGATACAAACCTGAGGTTTCAACTGCAGCAACCAAATGCTTGTCTTCTGCTAATTATTTTTGTTAAGATCTAAATCAAGTTTAAAGCAGTTAGGGGGAAAGACTTACAGGTTGTTGCTCTTACTTAATTCACTGATCACTGCTTAGAAGACTTTCTTTAATGTTTTAAAACAGGTTAAGATAAAGATGCTTTGAATAAATTCAGCTCTTGGACATGGCATTTGTGTAAGTTTCTTCACATTGTTCCATTTCCACTTCCAAGTTTACTCAATCTTCTGAAGTTTTTTTTCTTGATTCCCTTGTCCAGCTAACAGGCTTAGAATTCCCAAATGGTCCTTGATCAAGACAATCAGGGCCATCCCAGCCTAGCTTCCAAGATAAATAGAACGTTTTCTGTTTAAATCAGGATTCTCAACTGTGGCAGAAATGTGGACTTCAACTCCCAGAATTCCCCAGCCATCATGGTTGAGAAACACTGCTTTAAACAAATCGGCTGTAGCAGCTTCCCATTAAATAAAGATCAATGCTAAAAACAACAGAGTGCAAGTGATCGGGTGATGCATCCACTCATAAATAATGCATGATAACAGCAGAGAATAAATGAAGGGATTAAGATTTCAAATACTAGGATCAACACTCCCCCAAAACATGCAAGATTAGATATGACTGTTATTTTAATTGGCAGTCTACCAGTTTGAACTTCAGAAAGGTAATGGAGATTTGCTTCTCATTAATTTTGCTATATGATTTCATGAAATGATGCCATTAAAAATGAAAATTACTGACACCCCCCCCCCCCCATGTAACATGCTAAACCCACTATGGCAGTTTACAAGTAGCATTCAAAGAGAAAAGGGAAGGGGAAGAGTAAATGAAATTTTCCTAGCTACTTCTTTGCATCAATAAGAGTTGAGCAGCCTGATTTCTTCCCTCACAGAAGTACGATTTGTCATTAAACTTAACAACTAGAACAGAAAAGGATGAACTGATCAAGGTGCAGCAATAGCTTTACATTTTATTGGATAGTTTGATTACTGTATGTAATCAGTATTGATAACATTTAAGTGCTATTCTAAATGTTGCAGGTAGTCTTTGACTTACAAACTTTTGTTTAGTGACCTATGACCCCTGATGTTACAGCAGCACTGAAAAAAAAAGAGTTATGAGTATTTTTCACTTATGACCTTATGGTCAGTTGATCAAAATTCAGGTATTTATGACAGTTGCACTGTTGGGGGGCGTGGGTCATGTGATCGCCATTTGTAACTTTCCCAACTGGCTTCCAACAAGCAAAACCAAAGGGAGAAACGCAGATTTGCTTAACAACTGCACGATTCACTTAACAACTGCAGTGATTTGCTAAACAATTGTGGCAAAAAGGTTACAAAATGGGGCACAACACACTTAATTGCCTTGCTTAGTAACAGAAATTTTGGGTTCAACTATTATATGTGAAGGATTATCTGTACCGAGTAGTAATTTCAGAGGCTGAAATGCAATTGGGAAAAAGCGACCTCTCCATTACCCTAAAAAGCAGGTTTAGAAATTATTGCCCCAAACTTTCACAATAAGAAAATGACATAAGTCCTGATTTCAAGACTAGTGCCAAGATTTGGTTAGTTGTCTTCAAAACACTACTGAAATTCATCATACGCATCTTAGTTATGAACAGAGACTGCAATCCTCTTGGTTACAGTACAGAAGGGGTTGCCACTGCGTTCTTCTAAGGTGTTCTAACTCCTTAGTTTGTTTTTTACCTTTTGAGATTTCTTAAATCTCTCATCCAGCTACTAACCAACCCCTACTCATTTTAGCTTGAGCCCAGACAGGTGCAACAAGTCACCTGTGGACAAGGATATTGCATTAGACTTCTGATTTAACTTACAGATATGTACTGGTGGAAAAATCAAATAAGTGCAAAAGTGTCAATGCATTGGAACACCTAATCCCCTTACATGATATTTGCATATGACCCCCTTTCACCACATTTTCATTGTTCAGTTCAAATCCCTTTTGCTAAATGTTAAAGCCTCAAAGTACATAAATTTCTCTGAACAGGAAGAACATATTTATTTCTCACCGTGTTAAATTTGACTCCTCTACCCGTACACACACATGGAGACTAAGTGGAAACAATTTGGAGACGCCTCAAACCCTGTCAATTCTCATGGCGGTTGTTCAAAGCCTTTTTGGAATTAAGTGGCATATAAATTGCAGTAATAAATACATAACCGGTCAAAATTGAGAACTGGCTATAGCGCTTAACTGTTATCAGCCCTGGAACACCTTAAATATTCTTAAAGAGAGGTATACCCTTGAGCATGTGCAGATTGACACAAAACTCAAGTCTCCATATCTCAGACATTACCAAAAGAGCTTCAAGGTTAGATTTAAACCTGGTTTGTTTTCTTTTGTGTGTTCCCCCCCCCCCTCTTGAAGAAAAGTAGACACCCACACGCATTCGAGGCCCTTCTGGATGCCACTTACCTGGACCTCTGCAGCTCAAAAGCGCTGGCGCCCACCGGGCCTTGCTCGAGGCAGCAATAGTTCTGTGGGGCGGTTCTGGCGAAGGAGACCGGCAGGATTCCCTGAGTGAAAGAGTTGAGGCGACCCCTTGCACACGGAGTTCCAGAGGAGCCCGGGAGGGCGGCGGCGGCGGCGGCGATGGGCACCTGCACGCTAGCAAAGGCATCTTCGTCCTCGTCCTCCTCCGGCTCGTCGTCTTCGCCCTGCTGCGGCTGGCCAGCCGCTCCCAGGGGGCTCATGAGCTTGACGTTGCTGCCGCTGCCGCTGCCACCACAGGCGCTAGCATAAGCTCCGAACTGCTGCGGGGCGGGCGGCTGGAAAGCGGTCAGGTTGCCCCGACGAATCCGAGTGGTGGTGGTGGTGGTGCTGCTGCTGCTGCTTCTGATACCGCAGGCTGCAGCAGAAGCAGTCTTTGCAGCGGCTGCCGCGCCGACGTCGCTCTCCTCGCCGCCCTCCTCGCCCTGCAACACCGGCCGCCCGTCCAGTGAGATATTCGTTAGGAAGGAGAGAGCAGCCTGCCTCCGCCGCGGGTCCATGCGCGGCGGCTTCCTTAAACAGGGCTCCAGCTGCTGGTGGAATGTGCTGCCGTCGCCGCTGCTGGCACCGCCGGGGCTGCTGCTGCTGCTGGTGGAGGTGGTGGCGGCGGCGGCGGCGGCAGGAGGAGCCGCCGCCGCTGCCGCCGCCATTGTCTGTGGCGCTCGCTCGCCCGCCCGTCCACCCTCTGTCCCTCCCTCGGAGCGGCCAAGAATGAGACTTCGAGCGGCAGGCGCGACCTCCCCGGCGGCGAGCGGAGGGTTAGCAGCAAGCTGGGGCGAGGCGAGGGAGCGCCAGCCGCTCGAAGCAGGGGACTTTTGGCTTGCATGGCATGTCTTCCCCCTCCCTCCCGGCTGCCTGCATGGATAGAGCGCCCGAGTTATGCACCCCCACCTCTCCCCTTCCTTTCCTCCCCTCCTCTGGCTCCTGCCTTTCTTCTTTCCTTGGCCAAAGTTATTAGCATTTATAGGTGCACTCGGCCCGCCGAGCGCTCGGCGCAAAAACACGGCAATCACGTGTGGGAAATAGCTGGGAAGAAAAACAAAAGCTCGGGCCAGGAGGAGGAGGAGGAGGATAAAGAGGGAGGAGGAAGGAGAAATGGTGGGGGAGGGAGAGGAGGAGGAGGAAGAAGAGGAGGAAACTAGGTTTAAGGAAGCTCGTCCAGTGTTTTTTCTTCCTTTTACTCCCACCCCTCCCCGCATCTGCTTAGTGGGAGGGGAAGCGAGGAAAGTGGAGTTCCGCTTGTGTTGCACAGCACATGGTCGTGAGGCGTTTACATAAATTGGGCCAGCTCCTATAAGTTGATGGGATCTAAAAATTGGTGGATCCCATTCTGGTTCTTGGTCGGTATTTAACAACTGTGACCTTCCAGGTCATTGTGAACATAACGCGTTTTACTTTTTCCCGTCTGAGCCAGTTAAACGTGTCTTCCACTCCCGATTTCACCATGAAACCAGGCTGACTGAAGTTCTCCCTGCACCCCACCCCCGGTTTTGAAATTATTTTCCTTGTTATTCGTGAGGGATATCTTTAGAATAAAATATGTCCATTAAAGACTCCAGATGCACTCTGGTTTCTCTGTGAGCCCTTCAATTGTGTTGGACTTAAACTGATAGCAATTAGTTCCTGGAAATTATGGGAACTTCAAGGCCAATCCAGATGAAGGGCACCCATGCAGGGAAAGTGGCTTGGATCAAAAGGATGGAACACTTCTGAATACTTGTGAGTTTGATTTCCCTCCAGTTATATTAAATGTGTAGAACAAATTAGTCTTAAGCATAGAACACTTCAAAATAATTTCCAGAAATGCAACTGCCATAGAGTAATAAGACACCTTGTATTTGCATTTTATAAATAGGAAAAGTGAACACAATTTTCAAATAGAAAATGAGCAAATTATTTTGCAAGCATTTCCTCCTAGTTGTATCAATGAGGTGTATAATGTATTATATGCAGTTAGAAAAATCCAACATTGACCCTTTTGTTTTCCAATCATTATACTGATTTAGCAAATAAGAAAGTCATATGTTTTGCAGGTAGGAAATGAGACCAGCCATCTGACTCACTAAGACTGCTTCATATACTTTCTTGTAGGGCATGTGGATTCCTCTTGAAAAGATGATCATAGAGATATCACTTGATGCCTTTATCATTACGGGCCTTTGGTATACATGGCAAATTATTGCATGGTTAAGAGAATACGTGGTGATGTAATGCTAAGTCCGTTATAAAAGAACCAACTCACGATATAAAATATTTATTTCACTTGTCTTACATCCTCACCAATCATGTTTCAATTTCTTTCAGACTGAGGGAGGGTGTTGGCAGTTCTAGGCAAACTGCACATGTGTGGTAGCTTATTGTGTGCTTTACAAATTCCCACTTGCTTCTCTTCTGCCTCCTACACACTCCAGCAGATAGCTTTTTAGGTAATGAATTAAGTTCTAAACAAAAATGCATACTGTGCTATTGCACATTCAAGATATCTAGGGTGAGCGTTTGGTGTTTAGCATACATAAAAAAAACTATCTATACTTTGACCTCCAGTCTTTTAAAAAACATTTCTGCTGTATAAAATCAAATGGTAAAACTGATTCAGTTCGTGAGAAATGACTGATTTTGCCTTGTGCTGATCATGGATTCTTACTCTCAGATAACAAGCTATTATAAAGCTACTGATTGCTAATAAGACTTTGTACATTCTCCTCATCCACATGTCATCATAACCACAGGCTTTGTGTCCATTAGTTTCTCACTTCTCCAAAATGCTTCTGTTGCCATCACAACAGTCCACAGCTATAACTGTTTCTAGCTGAGTCTGAACAGCAATAATAGCTACCTGAAATGATTTGTGAACTTAATAGTTAAGCCTTTGCTGTTGCTTTGCCACACTTCTAATGTTTTTGATGATTTCACAATATCTTTTGGATAAAAATGCATATACTTAATATTCATGATTATAATACATATTTGTATTCTGACAAATGATAATCTTTTTAATCAGAAATAACATCTCCATAGTGTGGTCTTAGGAGCAAAATAATATGCATCTGCAGCTCAACTGGCATATTTAAAATTATTCATTTACGTGTCATATCTGTCTAGGAAATTCAAAATAATGCTTCGGGTTAATAATGAAGCTAATAACTGAGCTGCTCTAAAATCTTAATATGCAAGGAAGTCTGAGTAAATATAATACTAAAATTGTTAAGAAAGAAGATATACATAGAACCTATTGACTCTGAAAAAGAAAGAACTCTTTAGATCAGGGGTCTCTAACCTTGGCAACTTTAAGCCTGGTAGAGTTCTGGGAGTTGAAGTCTGCCAAGATTGGAGACGCCTGCTTTAGATGCCTGTCTTTGATCATTAAAATTCCATAGTTGATCACATTCAATCTTTTTTTCTCCAGAAAAAGCTTTGTGGAAAAGGTGGAGAGATGCTAACAATCAGTAAATGGTCTTGATCTAAATACAGCTCTTCTATTTCAGGGTAAGACAGCTTTCTATCCAAAAATGAGTAGGAGAAAATTATTTCATCGCATAAATGGTACTAGCTCGTAAGTACATGATTTTTCATTTGCAAAGCTGCAAAGAAGCCTTTGAATTACCTTTATAAACTTCACTGACGGGGGTTAACAATAACCATAAGGAAATACTTAAATACTCTCATTATTTCTTTAAATGGGTTGTTGTTGTTGTTAGTTACAGAGTCGTGTCCAACCCATCGCAACCCCATGGACAACGTTCTCCAGGCCTTCCTGTCCTCTACCATCTTCCGGAGTCCATTTAAGCTCACGCCAGCTGCTTCAATGACTCTATCCAGCCACCTCATTCTCTGTCATCCCCTTCTTTTTTGGCGCTCAATTTTTCCCAGCATTAGGCTCTTCTCCAATAAGACAGTCCTTCCTTCACATTAGGTGGCCAAAGTATTTGAGTTTCACCTTCAGGTTCTGGCCTTCTAAAGAGCAGTCAGGGTTGATCTTCTTTAGGACTGACCGGTTTGATCACCTTGCAGTCCAAGAGACTCGCAGGAGTTCAAAGGCCTCAATTCTTAGGCGCTTAGCCTTTCTTATGGTCCAGCTTTCACAGCCATACATTGCAACTGTAAACAAATGTAAAGCCCATTAAAAACAGCTGTGGTTATTTTATCTAGAATGTATCTGGATGAATAACCGCAATCTATTGCATGAGTATAAATGGAATCAGAGGCAGCCATTCTTATTCAGGAAGATAATTCCACAAATGGGGAGGGGGCAGGAAGCCCAGACGGACAGACACAGCAGGGATAGCAGTAACTCTACTATGAGTTGACTCCATGAAAAGAATCCTGTGTAGGGCTAAGCTGATGAAATTAATCCAAAAGATCAACAGTGATGTTTATGGGAGATTTTAAGTCTTTGAGACTTAAGTTTTGAATTTTGCCTTTAGCTCTAGGCGCCAATGCAATTAAGGACTGGTGGGATGAAATCTCATATAGCAGCCCCATTTATATTGTCATGACCTAGGAAACAGACAGTGACTGAATGTGAAGAAGCTGTTCCAACAGGACTTGTGGAATGTCGACCTCAGGAGATACAAATTCAATCATATGAGACAAATCAAATAAAGACACTATCTGAGTAGCTGGAGAAGTCAGGTGAGGGTGACGCTATAAGGTCTATCAGCCCCCACAACCAGCAAGCAGAAGGAAATGGAACAGACTTTTCTATGAAGTTCCTTGACAAGCACCAAATGCATCTCTTGTTTAGAGGCAGCCCTTGGAAGCAACTATCTAACCTTTAGCTTTTTGGGTGATACTTGTATGTAAATTCTGCTCATGAAATTCTGACCTTGATCTTGGATCTCTGGACTGGATTTGGATTCTCTGTGTGCTGCCGTTAAAGAATCTTTTTTCAGAGATTCTCTATTCGTTATCTGCTGTTATTTTTGGGCCTTGAGTAAACTACTATTTCCTATAGCAGCTGTTTGAGTGAGTGTTTAATTGGAACCAGGAGCAGGACAATTATCAACCAAGCTGCTCTTCCACTGTTATAAGATCTTATCATTAGAAAGTTTTTCTATTTTATGCATGAAATGTATCAACTTATTATGTATGAAATATATCAAAAATCTTCATGACAAAACTAGAAATGTCATCATGACAGCTCATGTAAGATAGTTGTTCTTCAAGGTTGCAGTCTGCCTTTAAAGAACTGCACTCATATACACACTCCCTGTTGCATCATCCAAATCTTACATAAATAACTGATGAAACCTTGGACAAAAATACTCTGTATAGAACATACTACTGAATGAATGCCTTATTGTTCTTTGGAGGACAGATTTTTCTATTACATTAGGCACAATGAAAATAATTATAGAAAGCTTACCCTACAAGACAGTTATTAAAATTATTGTCAATTTTCTTCTACATCAGCTAAACATTAACATCAAACTCCATATTCTTACAAAAGAAATTAAATTATCAAGTTCTGTTAGCAAACATAAACATAAAACTAAGTATGCCACCATTTTAGCCATTTATACAGGTAGTCCTTGACTTACAACAGTTCGATGTTACAATGGAAACAAAATTCAGAAGTTTGGCATATTTATGACGTGATTGCCATTTGTGACTTCCTATTCATTTTGCTTCTCAGAAGGCGACACTAAACATCAGAAATAGTGATCATGTGACCATGGGATCCTCTAACATAATTGCAAGCTGGTTGCCAAGGAACAGATCACATGACTGCAGGGAGTGTGTCCTATGAACCACTTCCACAACAACAAGGACTGATATTAAGCCTTCTTGTTCAGCAATGTCATAACTTTGAATAGTTGCTGAACAAGAAAGATTATAAGCTCAGTCAGCTAATTAACTAGTTGCTAAACCACCCATAGAATCCTACAAAACTGGCTGTGGCTTGTCACATCCACACTTCTTTTAAATTGTTTATTTTATTCTAATTTATACTTCAGGCAGAATTGATCTACAATTAGCAAGACATATTCTGACAGCCCAGAACATTACAGGTATCAGTACTGG